GAGTGGCAGAGCCCAGCCAGGAACCAGGTTTTGTTTTAGTTAGGTATTCTTTCTAACCTTTTCTGAGGTGAGTGTATTATACATTTTCCAAAAGCCTCAAAAATCCCATTTCTGCCTTTTTTGTCTTCCCCTGCCTGTGAAGATAGGATCACCCAAATCCATTTTCTCCTGTGCTTTCTCTCCTGCTGCCTTTGCAGGTTGCTTGTTTGGAAAGTTTATCACACACACAGTTTATTTTACACACACAGGTTTCAGTGCCCATTTCAATAAGCAATTTTTTTGTTAAAAAATTATGATCTTATACAATTGCAGTCTATGTGGCTTACAAAGTAAATCTTTAGAATGCCAGCTGCTGCCCTGTCCTAGACGTTTCTGCACTGCCTGGCATCCCTGAGTTTTCTCTGTCAGTGAGCTTCAGGGCCCCCTTGCTTAGGGAAGATCATTGATAGATCACGACTTTCTCTCACATTTATACTTCCAAAGGTGCTCTTGGTGAGTTTGAGGGGAATGGTTCAAATGCCTACCCAACTCTATTGATTCCTAAATATTTAGTAAGCATCCATGGCATGCAGACACCTTTTAAGTTGCTGGAGGGGAAGGGGCTGAGCAGTAAAGTGGAAATTCTTCTGTAACTTTTCCTTTTAAATGAGAATAATTTAGCTGGGAAAATGAAAACAGTTCACTACACCTTTCCTAAAGATTTGTTAAAATTCTCCATGAGTTTCATTGTCGTCCAGATCTCACAATTCTAAATGACTTTTTAAAAAAATCTTATTTCACTGGGTAAGATGTGAGGTTAGACCACCATGCCAACTAGTGGCCTAGTCAATATTGATACGTATATATTTAAATCATTACATTTCTGAGTACCAATAGCTTTCACGAAGTAAATGCAGTCTGGTTCTTCGCCCTACCAATGCCTTACACATTTTCATTCAGTAATCTGTCAGCTGGGTCTATGCTTCGCTAAAAGCTGGGGTTAGGGGATAAACTCTCTGACTCTAAGCACCTTGAAAGCTACAGGGCCGAAGAGGGCGCAGAAACAGGCCTCGCATGCATATGCATGCCCTAGGCAGGTCTGCTCGGAAGGTAACCTTCCCGCGCCGGGGGGCGGGGTGGCGGAGGTCTTCCGGGCTCCGGAGGAAACCTGCCGGCGGCGGGCGGGCGCGCCCCCCACCCTCCCGCCTGGATGCTGCCCCTTGCAACTCGTCAGCCAGCCAAATGCATTCCAGAGCTTTGCACAAGACACACTTCTCCAGGCAGTCCTAGAAACCCGAGCCCGGAGCGGGAGAGGGCGGGAGGGAGCGCGCGGCCGCCGCTGAGGTCACATTCGCGCCGCCTCCCCGCCCTCGGCGGCCCGGCTGTTCCCTCCAGCGCACACTTCCCAGGGCCTCGGTCCAGTCTGGTGTAAATGTCTTTTAAACGGAGACAGCGCTCTCCTCCCCCTTCCCTCCCGCGCGGCCAGGGGATCCGCCGCCAAGGCCTTCAAAACAAAACGAATGAATGAAGCGTTAGGACGAGCGCGCGCGGGACAGCTATGGCTGGGTCTAAATCCGGCCACCGACCCGCTCGTTCGGCTCCAAAACTCGCCGGCGAGACCCGCTCGGTGCTCTTGGGTCTTCCCACTTCTCCTCTGATTCGGGCAGGTCTCTGTCGATAGCGGGAGCTTCTTTGCTCCCCACCTTTATTCGCTCCCCCCATTGGTGCCCCCTCTGCAGACCGGGAAGGGGGTGGCGGTGGC